GCATCTTTACCATCCAAAAGTAGGATGTGTGTCAGAGCTGCACCCAGGTGATGGCACTCGGTTCAGAAGAGGTAGAGTCACTTGCATTAGTCTCACCATCCTCACCCTGAAGCTGACTATCCAGAAAGGAGGGTGACCTGTTTTATTTATACCCTTAAAGATGAATAAAAGATAGAACATAGAGATTTCACTGATTGCAGGAGGAATTCAGGTTCATTAAAAAAGAAAACTTTAGATTATAACCATTGATAAAGACTGAGTGAAGTTATAAAATCTCACTGCCAAGTTGAATGCCCACAGTAAACAACCATCAATTTGAACACCAGATTTCTTACTGCCAAGAGCCAAGAACATAGAAAACATAATACTCTGAAATATTAAAATTCTATCATTTTGCCAAAGTTATAATAAAAAGAAAAAAATTAACATTTTTGTATCGTAGACCACCCCAGTCTTCCAGAAGAACTTTGGATTCTTACAAATTATGTATTTCATCCTTTGGTAATTAGGGGTTTTTTTTTCCTTTTCTAATACTATAGTTTCACAGCAGGATTTGCTTTGGTTATGAGAGCAATGAGACAGATTTTCAAAAAAGTAATGTCTTGATTAAGCACAGAATAAAGTAAAAAGCATTAACAAACAGTCACCACCATCCAAAAACTGGAAACTAAGGAAGTTCTCATCTTAGTGGAAATATAATGAGAGCTCCTTTATGCACATGTGCCAACCTGTCTACTGCCCATCACACCTTCAAATATACACCTGTTTTCTACTACTACTTTAAAGAAAAACTGCTCTGGTACCCTGAAGAGTGTCAGTGTACAAATATCAACCAGTTCCAATTTGGAAACCTTTCTAGAAAATTTATTGTCGATTATATAAAGACATGATTTGCTGACATGGTAACATTTTGTCAAGTCAATTAATTAAGGTATGCAAAAAGAATCCTTTGTGAGAATTACAAGGGCAAAGTAGATACTCTATTAAAGCTGTTTTTAAGGATGAAATGAATGGCAGTTGTTGAATGTTTGGGGGTCATCCTCACCCCCTTAGGCATTCTCACCCCTACTGAGGATTCACTTGTTCACAGACATGCTCTTTCTTTCTCCCTGCAATCCTGTATCTGTCCTCCCCCTACAAGACTATATATATATATATATATATATATATATATGTATGTTTTAAAACCCTTTTGTCTCTTACGCCATGGATACCTAAAGACAAACCATCTGAGATGCCTACTGATTAAAGCAAGCACAAGGTGGGATTTCCCTGGTGGTCCAGTGGGTAAGACTCCGCCCTTCCAATGTGGGGGGCAGGGGGAGCCCGTGTTCGATCCCTGGTCAGGGAACTAGATCCTGCATGTGTGCTCCAACTAGGAGTCCACATGCCTCAACTAAGAAGTCCACATGCTGCAACTAAAGATCCTGCGTGCCGCAACTAAGACTCAGCGCAGCATAAATATATAAATAATAAAAATAAATATTAAAAAAAAAAGGCAAGCACAAGGTTACTAACCAGGTATACCTTTCTGCACCCTCCAACAAGCTAGGCAGACAACAAAGACTAGTGTTCACCAACCTCACCTAACACATGTTATTAACATGAAGAAAGGCAGCCTCATGATTTATTCATCTCTTATTTCCATTTAAAGTGCACTTGTAAAAATACTCCTGTCAGAAAAATTACCATCAAAACTCAGATTGTCGTTCTGTATCAAGGACATCTCGGAATGGAAAAATGAATGTCTACTCCTCAGGACTGCTTCCTCCCATACAAATCCCCTGGGACACAGTTTATTCAGGGAGATTCCCAGATGTCCAGGAAACACACATCTTCAGCGATCACCCCATTATTTAAGGGTTCAACTGACTCTTTAGGCACTAAACCAAAACAAACTGATTAGACTCTAAGACAAAATTACTGGCATTTCCCTGCTTCTGATATTACTACCAGGGATGGTTCATTTTATGTGTCAACTTGGCTGGGCCATGGTGCCCAGATATTTGGTCAAACATTATTCTGGATGTTGCCGTGAAGGTGTCTTTTGGATGAGATTAATGTTTAAGTCAGTGGGCTTTGAGTAAAGCAGACTGCCCTCTCTAATGTGGGTGGACCCCACCCAATCAACTGAAAGCCTAAAAGAACAAAGGCTGACCTCCCCCAAGCAAGAAGGAATTCTGAAAAAAAAAAAGGGCTTCCCTGGTGGCGCAGTGGTTGAGAGTCCGCCTGCCAATGCAGGGGACGC